TGTGTGTGTGTGTGTGGATGGAGGAGGTGGGGGATTTTAATTATAATCTAGGTCTTTTTGCTGGGATGTTGTTTCCCTCTCAGCCGGCCGTCTAAATTACCTAAAGTGTATCGATGGGACGTAAAAAAACACCGACTTTAGAAAATAAGATGAACTCTCTGTTGTAGCTGGGGTGTCCACCATAAATAACGGAGTTGTAGAAAAATGAAAGATATCTTCAGAGACTGTCTGGTTTCTGATCCTTGCAAAACTTAGACATCATGTGACGCATCGTTCTGAAATCAGGCGCTCCTCAAAATAATATTTTTTTTTAAAATCAAATAAACCGGCATTTCTCTGACAGTGGGGCAATTTGTTTCGAACTTCTTTAAATTTTAAAAAAGTTGGTGCAATGCTGTGTAAGTCCGTTTGAAAAAAAAACACATTTCTATGTCAATTTTCCTGAAAAACATCGATGACAGGCACAGAATGTGTAAATCTGCAGTTTACAAGGACACTCATGCTTTGAAAGTCACAAAACTTTGGTGCCATTTTCTCGCTCCAGTTACCTCTGACAACAGGCAATCCCCGCGACATTCAAATGCAAATCTCTCGACTTCTGTTCAAGATAGATGGGTATGTCTTTCATCAAAAGCAAGGCAAATGAATGATACCAAGGATTCCATATTATACCAAAATTGACGAGGGCCTGATTCCATCGCGTGGTGACACATAACTTTTTTCTGATAGGATATGATTAGATTTCGTAAGAGTTTTACGGCACTTGCAACACAATAAGGTCATATAAGTGCCGAAGAATAGTGGTGTTACAAGAGAGTAACATACACAAAAAAAGGAGGAGAGATAAGGACGATAGATGTTTGATAGGAAAGAAGGAGCAAACCACACCAGAGCACCCGCCAACCACCCACTTTGTTAATGTCTTTACGCCTCTATCAACACAATTGAGATTAAGAAGAATAAGAATTAGTTTGTTCCTTCTCACCAATACCTCTGAAGTTGTTGTTTTTACTTATTTTTTATTAGAAAGTGACAAATTTTAATGCAGTATCTAGGACACTGGACAAGACATAAACACATGGAACATCTTGCTCTCAGTGGAAATGTAGAGAGCAAAAGAGACAGGAGTCAACCAAGAACAATTAGCTTACGTAGACTTAGACAACTTGAATAGATGAGTTATGAAAAGGGACCTAGACAATGTAGTTTGTGTGTGTGTGTATGTGTGTGTGTGTGTGTGTGTGTGTGTGTGTGTGTGTGTGTGTGTGTGTGTGTGTGTGTGTTCG